TCCTTTGAATTTTCGGGGGGTTGACCAATGAATTTTTGAGAAATTTTCACCAGAAGCAGACCACCCCTAAAATGCAGAAAAGTCCCTGTCCAGAAAAGTAGCCATTTTGAAAAACCCTCCCTCGGCAAAATGGCTCAAATAGTGCCCCTTTCAAACCCGATTGCATCCAAATTGCTCAGAATTGGAAGCCCTAAGTCCGGCCCAGAGGTCCAGTCTCATATTTCCTCAATTCCTCAGTTCCATGGCTCTCAGGACCCTCTAATATAGAATATTTTGAGTCTATAACTTTTATTAATGAGCTCGGCGGACATATTTCTGGCCTAATTATGAGGGTGCACCCTTAGCAACCGCGCTGCAATTTGGGTCTATGGTGCCTGGCATCGTATGGTTCGAAGTCAACCCTGGTAATTCCAAGAAAAATTCTTGTTGAACAGTGTGGGCGGTCTCTGAGTCGATAGAGCGCTGTCGGAACAATAGATGGCCGTGGGAATGGGATACGGGCTCTGTTCTGTGGATCGACAGACCGTGGAGGGGTTGAATCCGCCATGATCATTTATACATATTCACGTATGAACATCAAAACTGTTTAATGTTTTTATAAGATGAAAAGATGATCAAATTTTAGAACCCTCCTCCAAATTATCAGGAGCAACTTTGTTGATGGTCCTGGATGTAAACGGTCCTCGAAAATTCATTATGTTCTGATCTGTTGTAACCTCTAAACATAGAGTGAAATTCACACAGAACAGGAAGCTGCAAACTTGTATGACCGCAACGTACGAGTTCCTTTCAGGAAGAGCGAAGATTGCATAAAGATTTGCCATGATCCTGCGATATTGGCAGCTAAGTTCACTTCATACGCTGATTCTGTTAGCGTGTAAACGGCGAGGTGTTCTGCAGCTTTCTGGAAATAGTTGCAGGTGGACATGTTAGGGCAACCGCAAATGCCTGTTATCTGGATATACGCGTATGTCAACCCATACTCAATGAATAAAATTCCCACAACGTTATTGTTTCATTGGCATCATTTGGTAACTATAATATTCATAATATACTAAGCAAAAGAATGTTCGTGATGCTGGTTCTTGGTCAGTAGAATAGAATTATCATTTAACTGGGGCGAATCCAGAAACAAATTTTCGGAGGTCTAAATTTTGGTAGAGGGCAAAATTAGGATTTTATGTAACTTTTATGGCATTGGCTGGGAGGCGAGGGCAACATTTGGGGCTTTTTACACGCTTTCGTAAGGGACAGAAATGAAAAAGACCCCCGGGTGAATTCTCTAATCATTAAAAAGAGCTTCTTTTCGGGGGGGGGGGAGATGCCTCGATTGCAATGCCCCTGAATCTGACGTTAGACATACACAGTGCCACTGACAGAATGATGTGCAATATGTGATAAAACAAAATACAGCTGTGTCTACTACCAGATGGAAGTATTTTGTTGGGGGGGGGATTTTAACAGTTGACAAGCTCAGCTTAAACCCAATTAATACGATTCTGAAAAGAAGCACTCTGAAGACACAAACAAATGACACCATATTTGCAATGGACCTGTTGGAAAATTTTGTAAAAAAATTAGAACTGATTTCCTTCAGTAAATTACAAGTCTCTTGGTCACCACATTTTTCTGATCATTAACACCAAACAGGCAAGCTTGTTAATTTATTTGTCCATCGCTCTCTGTTTTTCACTGTACTAATGTCTCCAAATAGACACCAGTACTGTACAGGGGCGGATCAGGGAGTTTTCTAGGGGGGTCCAATGACATAAAGGACTTATATTTTGTCACATAGGGCATGAGTTTCACGTTTTTTGCCCTTTCCTCATAGGCTACCTTAAATATTTGATGAGTGTATTTATTTAGTTTAAACAGAACGTAAGAGTTAACTATATCAATTATCATCTAAAATACGTAGTCGTGCCCCAAAGTGATAATTAACATAGGATT